CCAGCTGTGTCTTATCTAAAAGTGTTTTTATCTCTCAAAATACATGTTCTTTTCTCAGGTTTATATTGTAGTGCGGAGTAGGGCTAAAAGGTGTAAAGTTAACGCTACTTGAAGGTATTTAATCTAGAAAGTGTTTTTGATCTGACCACACACAGATACGGTATATGACCACCCTGTGCTACAGTAATGTTTTCAAAAATCACTGTTCAATCCCAAGGCTTGAGTGTATCCTGTCTCTGCAACTAGCCAAAGAAGCCTGCAAGCAAACTTTAGAGATATGTATGAGACCTAGGCAGGAGAAAAGACATGAATAAACATGGATGTCTAACCAGGATCTCTCTTCTTCTTGTTCACTAGAGGTCAGTAGGGCCACAGAGGTGGGTGCAAATAGCTGGTTTCCATGGAATTGGGACCATATAGTTCCACTTAATGATTGTTAATAAAATGTTGAGTATGCTCAAACCTCATATGTCTTTTTTTTATTTATTTATTTTTATATATACCTCAGGTCCTCATCCGTAATTGATCTGTGAGAGTGTTTGTGCAGAACAACCAGTGCAGAACTGGTTGCATTCGATTAAGAAGGATTGGCAATGTCTGGTGTGGTCAGATGGAGAATAGTACGTCTTGCACAGCCCTCTTCCATTAGCAATGCAGATGTGTGTTGCATAGAATGTTGTGAATTCTGTTTTGTGCAATATGCAATGTGTTTTCAGCAACATAAAACACGGATAGATAAATAAGAGAAGCAACATAATCACTCTAAATGTTTCGAAATGAGGCAAATCTCATCAGTATCTTTCTCTAGATTCCACATCAAATGAGCGTTCCACTGAGATGCTGCTAAAGAATTCAATGCACATAAAAAGGCAGAGACTGCAGTACCATGCTAATGTGCCAACAGGATTGATGCGAGTCTGTTATGTGAGTCTGACATCTGTTTAGGCAGGTTGCATAGAGAGTAATAGTCTAGTGAGGAACCAGTTAGGCCATAAACAACACAGAGATACTTAGAGTCAACATGACACATTCACATCTCATTTTACTTCTGTAATTTGATGCATTTCTAAATGAAACAGGAAAAACATGTAGATGTAAAAAGGGGTGTTACATACCAGAATGGACCAGCGCAAAGAGGTCTAATTTACATTGAGTTCTATTCATTAGTATTCTACTTTATCTCTATGGTAGTTTTTCGGCTGGTGCATGCAGTCCAGGAAAACACGGACCTGCATAAAGAAAAAAGATCACTGGTGAAGCAACAATAATATAATACTGTTTCTGAAGAAAAATTATTGATTTAGTCCAAATAAACAGCTGAATTTGTTCAAATGATGGTGTATTTTACCATCTGGGCCGAAACTGGCCAGTCGGTCATTATATGATATGTGGTTGTAGGGGGAAAATTAAACAAATAAAAGGGATTGGTGAAGGTAAGGAAACCACTACAAACTAAAAATACAAATTTCTGATTTTAAAGGAATAAAGAATACATTTTAAAAGAACACATAGCAAATTAGAACTATCTCTGAGTTTTTGTCTCAGTTCCTCATTAAAAGACTTGACATATTATTGTGGGACTAAATGTTGTTGGCCTGCACTCATTGCAGGCCCATCTGCTATACACACTAGCTTATGAGAAGAAAATTACAAGTAAAAAAAAAAAGCTTCCTTTTTTGCTCTACAGACAATGAATTGCTGTAAATATTTAAATGTGCGGTGCAAAATGAGTCAAACATGACTGACAGACAAGCAGTCTTCCCAGGCAATGTCATGAGGATATTCGGAGTGTTTTGTCAGTCTCATAAAGGAGCACCGGCTGCATTTTCTTTCTGTTGCCCCATATCATTATGCACTATCGGAACTGCACTTTGGAAGTGCCATTGTGTATGTCAAAAATGCACACACCATTACTTGGAAAAATCAATGTGGTTTCAGTAAGAGGCAGGGTAAAAACTATCCCATTAAGGTGATTATTTCTGTGCCCTTGATCACACTTACATAAATCTAGAGAAAATGTTTGCGATTTCATTCATTTAAAAACAACATTGTTCGCAGCCATTATCAGCGACAGGGCTAAAATGATATTCACAAGACATAATACTATTGAAAATATGGCTGATCCAGTCTTTCACTTTTGTTATAAAATATTGTTTTTTTGTACACAAAACAAGTGCAGTCACATGATGCTATTGTAAACGCTAATCCATCTGAATGTCAGGCTAATGAAATGTTTAAGAATGAGAACTCTAGCTGAGTTTATATTACTTAAAGAACCGAAGAAGACAGCAGAGCTCAGGCTGAGAAGATGAGGGTAGAGAGAGAGAGAGAGAAAGAGAAAAGACAGTTTCCCTTCAGGCTACAGTCTGTTTGGAACCAGGAGGAGGAAATTCTCTCAAAACATCAGACATTGAGATGCAGTATAGACAGTGTTGCCTCTCAGTGATTGAGACAGCACAACATGTCAGATAGAAGAATAATTGTTTTGAAATCGAATTGCATGCCATTAAAGCTGTTGCTTACATTCACTATGCTGAAAATAACGAGAACAACAAAAAAGGCCTTGAAAGAAACTGAGACACAATTTTCATTGTAGAATATGTAGGCCTACATTTTAAGAGGAGGATATGATTTGCTTTTCCTTAGGCTCATCCAAACTGAGCTGGTCATACTTTATCATTTTAAATTGCCAATGCTAATAATTATGTGTTTGCAAATTAATTTCTTTCTCTTTGCACTCGCAGAGCATGCAAAAATAAAGCGTTTGTTTCCCTATCACTGACAAAAAACCTTTCAGACTGAGAAAGAAAAGTCTTTCACAGAGGCATGTTTTAGTTTTTTAACAGAACATCTCTTAAAACTTGAACGCAAGAACCTGTTTTTATCCTCGGAATAGTGCATAGTCACACTTTGCTTACAATTTCACATATCCAGTTTGAAAACATAAATGTCATTATTTTCAGCTCCACATTAGTGCAGTACACATTACACTGCTTTAAGAGTCCCGCACTTTAAGTTTATGTCTCGATCGATGCAGCCTACACTCATTGTTATTGTATGACCTTGTAATTAATGGATGCAAAGGGATTTACACTGGACAGTTTTATATATTCAGATTTTAATTGCTGGAAAAGGTACCTTTTGATAGGTCATTATGAGGAAGAAAGATTTTCTATTGTGTTTACAACATATGACCTTTTCCTTCCTAGTTCTAATTTTCCAAACCACAATGTAATCTGCTAAAAGTTAGTTTGAAAAATGAATCAAGAGAAGACAAAGGCTTCTAAAAATAGATTCATTTTTGAGGAAGGTAGACGCTCTTACAGTAAAACTCAGCCCATCCTTGTCATCATTGCGAGGCTTTGATGGAGACAGCGTCTTTGTGATCACAGAGGATAAAGTGTGAATTATGCACATTATCTGGTGTCTCTCTCTCATTAGCAGCACAATGCACAGGTACGGAGCGCCACACAGCATATGCCTTAGAACAGTGGCTGTCATGACAATTTGGAAGATAAACAGTTCCCCTAATCAGTTTTTTCTTCTTCTTTTTGGCAGCTTGCATATGCTATGCATTCTACTGGACATGTGCTATAATTAGATCCAGTCATTTATCTATTTTAAGTGACAAATGCTGTTTTTATTGCCACTTGAAATGCTCAGATGGTGACATGTAACTATTTATTTAACTTAACCAAGCAATACTCAACTATAACTGTAACTGTTATGAATTATACAACACAACCAACGTGCCAACAAATTGATAAATAAATCAAGTAAATCGTGTTTTGTTTTGCACCAACTGGCATAAAGATCAATCTTAAATTGGCAAACCCATTCTGTTATTGCCAAATACAACCACCAGAGGGCACTCAGTAGGACTGAGACACCGTCTCAGTGTGCAATTATATTTTAACTCTTTATTTTGCATGTATAGGGTGATCCAGGGATATTAATTTGATATCCATGTTTGTTTGTTTTTGTGTGTGCTAAAAATAACATTTACTTAAAGATGAATCAAAATAATTATATTTCACAAAACGTTCAATTCATTGATCTATATCTATAAATCATAAATGCAACATGTATATGATCCAGAGATATTGATATACATTTTGGTGTTTGTTTGTTTTTTGCAAAAAAAATAACATTTACTTAAAGATGAATAAAAAAAATCCAATACATTGATCTATAAATCATAAATGCCATATAATGCCAAAATGACCAGCAAAAACAGAAAATAGCAGGAGTTTAAGCATTATGATGTAATGAGCTGGCTAAAGCTATATGAAAACACTGGACATGATTTAACAGTCAGTGTGCCAGTGAAAATTAGATGTTTCATGAAAATGTAACTTCCCTTTTGGCCTCTCTATTCTGTTGCAGGAGTGGTTTGGATAGGATGAGTAGAGCACCTGTTGAACTGTCTGGGATGAGACACTTTGGGCACTTTTGGGGTGGAACATCTTAAACTAGTCTAATATTGTTTGCTGCTGGTCGTAATTTTATATGGTCTTCACCAGGCCAAACTGGTCTAGTTGGTCCCCCAACCAGACCAAGGAAAAATTCCCTAGACCTCTTTAAAACCAGCCAAACATACCAGGCGTCTTAGGCTGGTTTAAGATACTTTTTTTCAGCTGGTCAGGCTGGGAGACCATTCAATCTTGCTCAACACCAGTTTGATCAGCAAACCACCTTGGCTGTTATTTTTTTCAGCAGGGTTTTAGCTGGTTAGGCTGGGAGACCCACTTGACCACTTAAACCAGCTGAACACCAGCTTAAACCAAACCACCTAAAACAGCTTAAACCAAACCACCTAAAACAGCTTAAACCAGCTGAGACCGACATGTTTATGCTTTTCAAACATGTTAAGCAGGTAACTGGGGTTTTGCTTTTTGCGCCACGATAAATAGGCTACTACCAGCGCAGTAAACACTGCTTACCTTAACAGTCCTCCCACTGAAGGGTTAAAGGGATTTACCATCATCCACGGAGCGGGTTAGTTATTGTGGCGCAGCGCGAGCCTCTGGACGGCGCGCTGCAGCGGACGAGCGCTCGAGCGCAACTTCAGTCCTCAGTACTGAGCGCCGTCAGCAGTGCCAGCAAACATAAACAATGGCGGAGCGGCTGTGAACCCAGCTCAGCGGATCGAATTTGCCCCATGGACGGGCATTTCGCGTACATCGACATGGAAAACCCGACCGAAAACCCCAGCAAGGCGGCGGAGTACCTGAAAGAGCTCAATAAAATCATCGAAACCCAACAGGAGTTGTTGGAGAAGCAGAAGAATCGGATTGAAGAGCTCGAACAGCAAGTGTGTGATCTTTGTCAAGAGAACGCGTGCTTGAAGGATCAGCACCAGAGGCACCTGGCCACCTGCAGACTGCAACAACAGGGCAATAGTCACCCCACGCTGGGTGCCATAAAGGAGAACGTGATCCAAGAAAAGTAAGAGTCCCACTTTTGCAAAGCTGTCACTGCTGGTTTCGTGTCTCGTTTGGACTATGTATGAATGGAATATCTCTAAGCAGGCATGTCAAATGCTGCTCTTTTAAAGAGACTAGATCAAGAGTGTTTATCTGTGGGTCTCAATGACAATGAACAGACTCGCTAAATGGGACGGCTTTGGGTGTGAGTAAATACCAACACTTAAATGTCACCAGGCGTTTTATTTAAATAAAATGCCTGTCTTATTAAAGTGAATATATTTATATAATCCTCAGGGAGTAGTCAGTTAGAAAAGATACATGCAAAGCAATTTTTGAAGAATATCTCATTTCTACGATGCTCAAAATGCGGTGGTAGGCAGCTTGTTTGGACACATAGCTACACACACACACCCATGTCGACGGCGTTCGATTTTGACAGGCTTTTGACACTTGAAATTGACACTTGAAATCCACACAGCGTCATTACACCAATCCTGTCTTGTTCCACGTTTCAACGGTGTTGTTCATATACTTTATACTTTACGGTGTTGTTCCGGGGTTAGTAAATAATCCTGGGTTGACATGTTTCGAGATTTCACACTGTACCTTACCTTCGTAAGTACGGGTTAATGTTCTTATTTGCATATTTTAACGAGGTTAACGTCGTTGATTGGACAAATACAGCACGCATCTTGATTTGATAACGGATTTAATAACGGCGTACGTGTCCATCTATGGAAATGTTGCCAAGTAGATCAACACCAATTCAGTCTCTTCATCATTTCAGTAAAACCGTTAAACCGTTTGTCTCAGACATGAAGACTAACAGCGTGTGAAAGTTCTGAAGAACTGTAGAAAGCTCATGAATATTTATTATTGCAAGCTCTGATTGGGTTGCCTGTTGCCAAACAACGCGCTAAATCAACATACTCTGGAGAACAAGGATTTAGTAACCCAGGTGTGAAGCAGTGCTAAGTCTAACCGGGTTTTAAAATAATGAACCCAGGGCTAAGTGTGACACGCCCTAACGAAGTCTATCTTTAAAAATTATAAATACAATGAAATGAAGCCGTTTTCCTCATCTGAAATCCGAAGAGAGCATCTTGGAGCCAGCAGCGGTTCAACAGTATGCTAAAGCTAATGCCGCCAGGTTTAGTAGGCTATAAAAAAAAAAAAAAAAAAAAAAAAAAAAAAAAATCCTTTTTTTAAACAGACTGTTTATTTAATCGTTTTTTTTAAATAAGAAAATTTACGATTTAATTAAGAGGATTCATCGCGGAAACATCTGTTTTCCAGATGTGGTGGTTTTTAATTGATTTTTAACCAGTCTTTGTGAGACTAAATGTTGACTAAGATGGCAAACATTAGCTAGTTACACTCTATCCTTTTCAGCTTTTAAGGTAGGCCTGTTTATTTGTATACACTTTAAAACAAGATTACATTCATATTTTTGTGATTGTTTGAGCTGTACTGCCCGTTTGGAATTCCTACACAAACCTCATTTTCGATGCAGTTTGTAATAGGCTACAGTGTTACGTCACAACGCGACTCTGAAGAAAGCCTATTCTAATCTGCTACTATTTTATTATGTTGACAATCAGGAGCTCACACAGCTTCTGGTGCCACACTACATGAGGGGTTTGCTGGCTTGCTGCAGTGTGTTAGGATTTCCAAGTGGATTCACTGCAAGAGATAAGTGTTTATCTGGCATATTTATGGAAATTTACATGAGTGTTTGGATGAGTCAGAAACATAAATTTCTCCCTAAGACATGTGGCGTTTTTAAGCCGGAGTTGGATTTGGAATTTAGCTGTATGTGAACATGCAGTTGTCACATTATCCCTTGTAATGCAAACGCAGTGGCTGATCACTCATGATCTCTTATTTTTACAGTTTATATTGTGAAATAATTTTCTATTCTGCTATAGCACCCAAAGAGTTAACTTTTAAAGATGTTGATGTTTCATGAGCTGAGTTGCACTTCACTTGCACTTTCTACAGTGCATTTTGTCAGTAACTTCTGTTGTAATTCAATGCAGAGAGGTTGCAGAGGTAGAAAGTTTGGCCTTCACCTTTCTTATAGGCAGTGCAGATTCTGTGATATTGAAATACTGTATCTGTTCTGTACAGTTCTTACGATTAGGGAATATATAATTTAATTTTATTCCTGGCTCATTTTATACAATGACTGAGCTTTGTGGGTGTAATATTAGCCATTCTTTTTTATTTTCCACTTCCTATTTGCTTTTTGCATATATGCCTGACTTATATGTGCCTTCTTGAATGTCAAAACAGATCTGTTCATAATATGCTGATTATGCTTACACTTTGTTTTAGTCTCTTTTCCACCATCAGGTTCTCTTTGGTATGGTTAACTTACAGTTTATTTCTTTTTGTGGTACTATGTAATCAGGATTACTATACATATGCAACATACATCTGCTGTTACCACGGTGGTTCAAGAGTTGTAGAAAGCATGGTACTGTTGGTAACATTTCAGTTATTGGGCTTGCTTTTTCCCTGGTTTCCTGTTTTTTTGTTTTGGCACATGTGAAGCAGAGAAAAGAAGATAAAATGTTCATCATCATTTGCAGAGAGGTTATTTCACTGGAGATTAACAAACGGAAAGGTTCTTGACAAGAACAATCACTGTATTGTTTGAGTACAGTATATACACACACATTTGTATGACCTGAAAGTGTAATGTACCTGAAAAAGTGAATAGAAAATACTGTATTATACTAGTACATATTTATACTTTTTTTGTACCATGCTAAACCGGAAACGCAACTGGAACTGTTCCTCACTTCCTGGAACCCGTTTTGCCCGAAGGTGGAAAAGTGTTCATGCTATTTTTTGTAGCCAATATCTTAAATGTATGCATCATTGTGATTGCCTAATGTGATTTAATCTTCTTTTCTCAGTCTCCTTTGGTATTGACCTGAGAGTCCTTCAAATCATTAGGATTAGAGAAGATCATCTGCTCTGATCTTCTCACATCCTCATGATTTCAACGACTTTGGGTTTAACACCAAAGGAGAATGAGAAAAAAGACCACTCCCGTCATTCTGCAGCTTATTCTACAGAATAACTGGAGGAGAGAGGAACGTGCATAGTCATAAAGCTGTATCTATTATATTTATAGCAATGTGTCTTAAATGCATGCTTCATTGAGATTGCCTGTGATGTGAAGTATGCTTCCTTTTTCCTCACTCTCCTTTACTGAGCACCGAGTCTTTCAATTCACAGGGATTTGAGAAGATCATCTCCCCTCTTCTCACATCCTCATGATTTGAAGGACTCTGAGTTTAATGCCAAAGGAGAATGAGAAAGGATGAAAACAGACAACAGTAAAGCATGCATTTAAGATACAATGCTAAGAATATCACAGACACAACTTGATTTGTGACTACATTTTCCTCTTGAGTTATGCCATCTTAACACTCCTCCTGACCTCTTAAATGGAGTGGTTTTCTTTTTCACTCTTTGGTGTTACACCAAATATAATGTATTAGTTTTTAAGAGTTTAGAGGATCACCTTCTCCGATCTTATTCCCTCATGATTTTAACAGTTTAGTACCAAAGGATGTGATATGACTTCATATCACAGGCAATTACAATAAAGCATACAAATGTAATGTAGCTAGAATTCACTATAGTTGTCTTTTTTTCTCATTCTCCATTGGTATTAAACCCAGAGTCATTCAAATCATGAGGATTTGAAAAGATCATTCGCTCCGATCATCTCACATCCTTATGATTTGACAGACTTTAACACCAAAGAAAAGACCTAGTTATTCTGCAGCTTCTTATCTGCAGAATATCTGGAGGAGTGTCAACATAGCATAACTTAGATATTCACCCGGGGCCTGTACCATGATGATAGTTGAACAACCTCAAGGTTACAGGTTTAGTTTCGAGTTGACAAAACCAAACCAATCCAATCAGGATTTGTTGGTAACATGATACTTATCATCGACTTCCATATCAACTCAGGCTCTGATCCTGAGTTTAGCTGTGACATCAGTAGTGAACAGCCAATCACATGCTCTGTGGAAACTGCGATTCACTTCTCTCTTCTGCAGAATATTACGAGATTGGAAAATATTAAGAGTTTTAAAAAAATTACACCGCAAGAAGAAAATAGCTGTATATGAAAATATCTTGCCATATCAGTGTCAGTCCAAGTAAAATCTGTGAAGTTAGTTTATATAGTTGATGTATAGAGAGAATTGAACATTTAAGCTCACATGAAGTCATTTTTATAGCTTTATCAATTGATTCTAAAGCTTATTCATTTAAACTAAACTTAAACTAATAAGCACTGCTAAAAGCCAGATGATTTTGTCTTTAAAATCATTTGCTATGTAATTGCCTTTAATTAGGAGTAGAATCAGGGGGAGTGACTTTATTGCGTCAAACATGTGTCCCTTTGCTTATGCTGATTGGTCCAAATTCTGTTTGAGATCTCTTACCTGGAACAAAATCTTGCCCCAGAGTAGGTTAGCTGTGGAGCGTATGGCAATAAACACTGCTAAAAGCCAAACCACTTTCATGGTGCCTAAAACCCAGTCTAGTGCCTGAACTGAAACATACCTGGCTAGCCACCTAAACCGGCTTCATGGTATAGGACCTTGGACTGCGTTTCTTAAAGGCATCATGGTCCATAGAACGTTGACTTATTTGCAACAATGGTCTCTACGATTCAGGGTGTCTGAATTTTGAATAGCGAAATCAAAGCTCAAAGCAGCGTGTTTAGCTTGGCTGTTTTTTCTTGCACAAGTCAATGGCTCTGACAGAGATATCGCCAAGTCATAACATCACATTTCTACACTTGCAGCTCTGCTCTGACAATCTGTTTCCTTGCTGTTCCATATTTTTGTTCATAGGCTGGTGCCATTATCGCTTGTGACTGCTTGCAAGCACACACCGTGATTTTGAGAATGGAAGTGGAGTAGGCAATGAAAGTTCAGCCAATGATTTGTGTGTTGCGGTTCACCTTAGAAGGGGACTGTATTT